CAGGAATAGATGAAAGAAACTTGGTACTTACTTAGTGGTTTGGTTTGAGCTGCCAGATCGAGACTTTTTGGCAATTCCTTTAAAAAAGTACCAATTTATTATCTTAAACTTCTCGAGGTCAGAACTCCAAGATAGGTCTCACTGGGCTAAGACCAAGGGGCTGCAGGGCTGCATTCCTTCTAGAGGCTCCAGGGGAGAAGCGTTTCTTGCCCTTTCCGGCTTCCAGAGGTGCCCCATTCCTTGGCTGGTGGCCCCTCCTCCACCTTTAAAGTGTATCCCCTCCACGCTCTGTTCCCAGCACATCCTCTCTGACTCTGACCTCCTGTCTCCCTTGCACAGGGATGACGCTGGGCCCACCCAGACAATCCAGGATAACCTCCCTATCACAGGATCATTATCTGGATCGTATCTGTGGCCCTAGAAGCTAACATATACACAGGTTCTGGGGATTAGAATATGGACTTGTTTGGGAGGACATTATTCTGCCTACCGCGGGTTCTTTCTGCTTTTCAAGGTGTCCCTTCAAAGACAAAGATAGCAAGCAAACTGTGATATTTGCCTCCACCCTCTGATCAGTGTCCTCCATGGGATTCTCCCTCCAGCCATGGGGACAGCCTAGATTCACTCCCTCTGTGACACATGTCACATAAAGTCAGAGGAAAATTTCCTGGTGTACTTCCTCAGGTGCTCCAGCAAATGGATTTAGGAACTATGGAGCAAAACAAAGTTAAACGGGTGTCTTTGTGCAGGACTTATCAGAACGTTTATTATTCTGAGATAAAGTTTGAACCAAGAGATAGAGCATACAGTGACACTAAACTTCTTTGACCGAGGAATGTTATTCCGTGGAGCTTCTCTGGGAGTTGGCATCCCACAAAATGCACGTTGGGAAACGTGAGTGACTTTGAAGGGGACGCAGCCTCTTCAGGGTCTATAGCTTTTGCTCCTTTCTCCGACTCCTACACTTGGCACACTGCCTGGAGCCGATACGTGCTGAGAATTGGCTCTGGGCGGGGCCGCAGTTTCTGTCAACCAGCCCTGAGACTGTCCCTGTAAAAAACCGATGCTTCCTCCCCAAGCAAGGGTTGTGCGTTCCTTCGGACCGATGGGAGTCTGCCATCAGCCCGGGGCGCCTGAAACACAAGTGTCCACCAGTCGGCAGGGCCTGGCAGAGCTAAACCACTTTCCCCCACACGTCCCAGACGGTGGTGGGGCCGGTCTCAGGTGGGCCTCGAGGCCGAGGCAGTAAAGGATTCAAGGCCGTGTCTCCACGTGACCGCAGGAGCGTGGCTTCCGGAGAAAAGAGGGCGTTAGACTTTACCGCAGGAAGCCGCAGACCGGAAGCAGTCCGCCCCCTTCCCACCCGCAGGATTCTGTGGCCAGCCGGGTGCCACGGGTGGGCCGGGTCACGGCGAGGTCCTCCCGGTATCGGCGGAGCCCTGCGGGGGCCTGAAGCCCGGGAGGGTCTCCCACCCCGGATGGAGCCTGTGCCAGGCGCCCTTGAGGCGGCAAGCACATGCCCGGTGCCCTGGCAGCCTGTGTGCGTTGCCCCGCGGGGTGGCTGAGGGCTGCGGGAGCCCGTCGCCTGTCAGCCGCACTGCGCTCGGATGCTGGTTCCCTCACTGACTGCCTTCTGTCACGCTCACTGCCGTGTCCCTCTGTTCCTGTCCGCCGCGCCACAGCCCCACTTCTGTGCCCGTAACGTGCCCTCCCCTGTCACCCCCAAGTCTCAGTGTTTGCTCTTTATTCGAAACACGTCACTGGAAAACACACTTGGTGCCCGGCTCTGCAGAGAAGAAATAAAACAACAGCGGCAACCGTTGTTCATCGGACACCATTTACGTGCCAGGCACTTCACATACGTTGTTTTCTATTCTCAAAAACACCCCAGAGGTAGGTTTTATGGTTTCCGTTCCATGGAAGGACAGCTCAGAGAGAAGCAGCCGCTGCCTAGGGTCACACAGGTCACGCAGGAGGGCAGGCGACTCTGACCCTGCGGCCCACACACTTCCCAGGGTACCCTCCTGCTTGGGGGCATCACGGGGTGGGCATGGCAGCTGCGTGGACACGTTGTCACGGCCAGGAGTGAGGAGAAGGTGCTTAGCCGTGACCGGGGCTGGGAGGGCTTCCGGAAGACATGGCTGCTGAGCGGGTCCCGGCAAAGAATGTTCCAGACAGGCCACAAAGTGGCAGAAGGAGCATGTGTGAGGCACAGAGGCGTGTCGTGGGGGTGGGTGGAGGTCCTTCTCAGTCAGGACAGATGGGAGGGGACAGTCTCGAGGTGGAGGGGCTTGTGGGCAGGGCCTCCACCGGGCAGAGTGAGTTCGGGTCCTGCTGGCTGGGGCAGGACAGCGAAGGCTCGAGTGCAGGAGAAGGTCGTCTTGGCGGGTGGAGACCGGCATGAGGAGCCCACAGAGAGGTGCTGAGACTGAACTGACACAGGACCTGGGGCCTGGGAGGGGCACACGACTCGAGAACAGGAGGGTGGCATCAGTGGGGCTTGGTGACAAGATGAGACCTGTAGGCAGGTCCTCCATCCTGTGCTCTCACGTGGCCCACCCCTCCCTCACTTCCCACCAGGGGAAATCAGGGAAAGCTTCCCGGAGGAGAGGGTATCTGAGCTGAGGCCCAAAGAACAAGGCTAGTCAAATGCAGAAAGGCCAAAAGAACGTTCTGGAGAGAGAAAAGAAGTAAAAGTACCCGTGTTTCTCCTGAGTGCCGGGATATGTGAGGCAACTTGCTGTCTTTTGGCTCCCTGCTCAAGGGCCCTCTCTCTTCTGACAGCACGAATGCACCCCTCCCTGGTGCCCCTCAGGACTCCAGCTCGGCTTTCCTGTTACTGCTGTTTGCTGTTTTCAAAAGGACATTTGTGAGCCCCTTGCCAGAGGATACATATGGGGTGGGAAGGACCCCAGAACTGAATCCCGCGGGGCCATAATTATGAGGAGTGATCGCCAACAGAAAGGAGTGTAGTGGGGCAGGTGGGGAGGGGGGAGGTTATCTGGAAGGTAGGGAAGCGCACAGGGGCCAGGTCCTGCAGGGGAGAAGGGCGGTGGGCTGGCTGGGGTAGGACAGGGCCTGCTCTGGTGTGACGTCCTCCTGGGAGGAACCAGAAGCCTGTTTGAAACGGTGGTTCTGAACTGGCGACATTTGGCAGTGTCTGGAGACATTTTCTTAAATTATTTTGATCATTGAGGGCGCCTGGGTGGCGCAGTCGGTTAAGCGTCCGACTTCAGCCAGGTCACGATCTCGCGGTCCGTGAGTTCGGGCCCCGCGTCGGGCTCTGGGCTGATGGCTCAGAGCCTGGAGCCTGTTTCCGATTCTGTGTCTCCCCCTCTCTCTGCCCCTCCCCCGCTCACACTCTGTCTCTCTGTCTCTCAAAAATAAATAAACATTAAAAAAAAATGGGGGAGAATAGGCTATAGATTTCTCTTTTATTTTACATGGAAAGCATGTATTTCAGGGAGGAGAGAGAAATATTTTCCTGCCCTCAGACTTCAGGATTACTTTATCATATGAGTGTTGCATTTTGAACTTTGAGGAAGTATTAGCAAATACTGTAGTTAAGTGAATGACATGGAAATGTTATTCATTCAGCTACTTCTCCCGTTTATCCTTAATAAAAGCTAGCAAAAGTATTAAATCATAGCTTATTAAAGAAACATTCTGAAGCAGTTTTCAGTGTACTGTTGGAAATAACACCCCAGAGTCTCACGGGCTTGCTTTTTGTAGAATCTGGAGTAAGTTTTAACAGCCTTTTTGTTTTGTTTTGTGTTTTTGTTTGTGTGTGTGTGTGTGTTGGGGGTTTTGTTTTGCTACTTAAGAAGAGCAATTTCATATGCCCTGTGCTGTAGTGCAGTGTTTTTAAGGATGATGCCCACTGTGTCTGGAATGGACTGTCCACGGGAGCTGCCACCACGGCCACCTTTCTCTGGAGGAGGACAAATGTCAGAGCACTGAACATTTAAACCCGTGTTCTGAAAGCATCTGCTATTATCTGATTATTATGCTGTCAGGGGTCTAATCCATAAGCCCACCTTTATACATATATATGTGGAAGTTTGCACCATTAAAGGCTTAGTCAGAAATGGCAGGTTCGCTGAGGCTGGAAATTTGCAGTGTTCAGCCTGGAAAAGGCCCAAGTCACATGGGCAAGTTTGAATACTGGGAAGATTAGCCCTTTGAGAGTATTTCCACGCAAGGTTCCTGTGTCTCAGAGGGTCATATGGAAAGGGCCCTGGAGGTCATTTAGTTCAGTTCTCCTTCCGATGACAGAATCTCCTCCCAGAATCCTGGCCAAGAAGCAGGCAGTCTGACCATCTGAGTGCCTCCAATGAGGAGAGCACACAGGTCCAGGCAAACAGGAGGTGCTCAGTAAATACTTTTCAAAGGAATACGTCCTGTGTGTGAAGCTCTGAGCCCGGGTTTAGTGTATATACGTCATCCGGTTACTATAGCAGCCGTGTGAGGCAGGAATGCTTACAAACCACGGACAGATGCACTGTGGTAGCAGGGGATTTGAACCCAGGGCCCCCAGGAGACCAGTGTTTCCTCCTGGCTCTTCTCCTAGCCAACCAGGTGACCTTGGGCAAGTCATTGCACATCTCTGGGCCTCTGTTTTCCTATTTTTTTTTAAGTTTTTAAAAATTTTATTTAAAATTTATTTTTGAGAGAGGGGCAGAGCGCAAGCAGGGGAAGGGCAGAGAGAGAGGGAGACACAGAATCGGAGGCAGGCTCCAGGCTCTGAGCTGTCAGCACAGAGCCCGACGTGGGTCTCGAACTCACGAGCCACGAGATCATGACCTGAGTCGAAGTCAGGTGCTGACCTGACTGAGCCACCCAGGCGCCCCTGCTCTGTTTTTAAACAAAGGCTCGGGACTCCTCGGTTTCAAAGGCCCCTGCCAGCTCTGTCCCTGACAAGGCGTGTGTCTGGGTGGTGGGACCGTCCACTGCAAACATCCTAATCCCTCCTGAAAGTCTGTGATGGTCCCTGTGTGCAGCCTTCCGAACCTTCCTGGGCAAAGAGGATGTCTCCCGAGAGGTGGAGGAGGTCCTGGCAGAGAGCCGCTTGCAGAGGAACATCCACCTGGTCTCCGTGCTGGAGCTGCTGCGGAGTCCCTTCGTCCGCTGGCAGGTCATCACTGTGGTCATCACCATGGCCAGCTACCAGCTCTGCGGTCTCAACGCGGTGAGCGTCCCTGCGCAAAGGGCGGTACCAGGGGGAGGTGACCGGGGGGGTTGGGTGTCAGGGCTCGGGACTCGGTGCCTGGATCCGGTCCTGGCTCTGCCACCTGCACTGGCTCTGCGCCATCAGGCAGTCACGTGATCTGATCGAGCCTCAGTTTTGTCATCTGTAAAATGGGCTGATGTAATAACGAAAGAAAGAATCCATGCAAAGTGTTCAAAGCAGCAGCAACACAGTCACCCCTTAATAAACACCATTGTTTAATTTGGTGATCCCGAAAACTCGTGTTTCTTAGTAGAGTAGGAGTTAGGAAGCTGTAAGTGAGAGATGATTTAAATAAAAGTACTCTTGGCTGGGCTGGCTTCAACGTGCGACTTTGGTGTGAGAAGACCTCAGGCTTGAAAGGAAAACTTTCCTGGGGCCTGAGTTAACGTGGGCAGGGAGATCGGGCAGAGGTGGGCGGAATCTTCTGTGAAGTTCCCCAAACCCACGGACAGACGCAGCTGGCCCCTTCCCTCCTGGTGGCTCCTGAGGGTAGAATCCAAGAATCCCAGGACCAGGGAACAGGCTTGGGATCGTTATCATTGCTGCTTCTGGAAAATAATGGGTTGTGTCGTGCAGTGGTGAGTTCCCCATTTACGAAGGTGTGCAAGCCAGCTGGCAGGGCAGTGTAGAGGTAGTCACATAGCTCAGGAGAAGTGTGGCGGGTCCAGGAGGAGGAAAAAGGGGCCCTTCTAAAGAGCCCCAGATAAAATAGCTCCATAAGCCCGGCATCCCCTAAAAGTCGGCATGGGAGTGTCTGGGTATGTAGGGGGAGGTGACATGAGATGAGAGGGAGGCGTCCCTGTCCAGAGAGGGCAAGGTGACAGCATGGAAAGTTACAACCACAGTGTTTTGCCTCATTTGAACCACGCTTGATTCTATTTTTGGAAACATTGGGATGAGCTGAAGTCGACTTGCAACTTACTTATTTTTACCTTTTTCCTTGGTCTGTTGAAAGCCAGCGAAGGAGGAGGTGCCCGGGGCAAACAGCATGGCCTTGGACACCGCCTGCTGTTTCCTGCACTTTGCAGCTCCAGGCTCAGAGCCACCCTCCCTGTTCTGAGAAGGTAGAGAGGGAGCGTCTCCGTTTCCTCAAGCTAACATTTGGAGTCGTAAAAGCCACATATGGAATCTGTATTCAATGAGGCATTTGGATCGAGAGCCATGACATTTCTAAACAGAATTCTCTCCTCTCCCGGGACATAAATTTCTGATTTGCGTTCCCTATAAAACTTCCTGTATAAATCCCCCTAGGGTGTGTCTGTAAACCCTGCTGCACAGGCCTAGGATGGGGAAAAACCGTGTAGTCCGCTCTGGGGACCAGCGGTAGTGAGGTCTCAGCTCGGGGCGCCCCGCCCTCCTCATACTGATTGCCTTTCGTGTCTTTTTTTTATTGTCGTGAGCGCATTTGACACGAGATCTACCTCCTGAGCAAACGTCTAAGTGGGCACTGGAGTCTTGTTAACTGTGGGACGGGCTTTGCACAGCGCATCTCCAGAGCTCGTTCATCTTGCTTGACGGGAGCTCCGTACCATTGATTATCAGCTGCCCGTTTCCTCCTCCCCCAGCCCCTGGCGACCACCACTCACCCCGCTCTCTGCTCCTGTGAGTTTTTCTGTTTTAGACCCATCGTGTAAGTGGAAGCATGTGGTACCTGTCCTTCTGTGACCAGCCCACTTCCCTCGACGTAACGTCTACCAGGGTCACCCAGGTTGTTACAGGTTGCAGGATTTCCTTCTTTTCTTACTTTTATTTTTTATTTTTTTGAGGCTGGCTAATATCCGTCTGTGCGTACACGTACCACATTTCCTCTATCAGTTCATCCATCAACAAACACTTAGGATGTTTCCACGCCTCGGCTGTTGCGAATAGTGCTGCACTGGATGTGGAGTGCAGACATCTCTCCGAGATCCTGATTTCAATCCAGACCAAAACCCGGAAGTGGGATACTGACTCATGTGGCAGTTCGGTTTCTAATTCTTTGAGGACCCTCCATACTGTTTTCCATGGTGGCTGCACAAGTTTCCATTCCCACTGACAGTGTTCAAGGGCTCCAATTTTTCCACATCTTCACTGACACTTTTTTTTTTTTAAATAATGGCCATCCTAACAGGTGCAAGATGATATCTTATTGTGGTTTTGATTTGCATTTCCCTGATGATGAGTGATGTAGAACATCTTTTCATGTGTCTGTTGGCCATCTGGAAGTCTTCTTTGGAGAAATGTTCAAGTCCTTTGCCCATTTTTAAGGGGGGGCTGTTTGGAGGTTTGGTGGGGGGTTAGTTTGGTTTGGCTTTGCTATTGAGATGTAGGGGTTCCTCATATATTTTGGAGATGAACCCCTTATCAGATACATGGTTTGCTAATATTTTATTCCATGCTGCAGATGGCCTTTCCACTCTGTCGATTTTTTTTTCTTTTCTGGGCAGAAGCTTTTTAGTCTGATATAGCCAGTCTTGTTAATTTTTGCTTTTGGTGTCGTATCCAAAAAAGACCAATGCTATGAAGTTTTTCCACTACGTTTTCTTCTAAGACTTTCATAGTTCTTATGTTTAAATCCTTAATCCATTTTGAGTAAAGATAAGGGTCCAATTTCATTCTTTTGTACGTGGATATCCAATTTTTCCAACACCATTTGCCGAACTATCCTTTTCCCATTGAATGTTCTTGGCACCCTTGTCCAAGGTCAGTTGGGCATCAATGAGTTTGTCTCTGGGCTCTCTGTTCTGTCCCATTAGTTTGTGTGCCTGCCTTTATGCCAGTATCACACTGTTTTAACTACCGTCACTTTGTAATATCTTTTGAAAAGAGGACATGGGATGCCTCCAATTTTGTTCTTTTTAAAGATTCTTTTGGCTCTTCATTGTCTTTTATGGTTTCATATGAATTTTAGGATTTTTTTTTCTATTTCTGGAAAATATGCCATTGGGATTTTGATGGGGATGGCATTGAAGGCATTGAATCTGTAGATCATTTTGGGTGGGGTGGCCATTTGGACAGTATTAAATCTTCCAATCCATGAATGGAATATTTTTCCACTTATTTGTGTATTTAATTTCTTTCATAATGTTTTATAGTTTACAGTGTAAAAGTCTTTCATTTCCTTACTTAACTTTATTCCTAAGTATTTTTTGATGTTATCATAAATAGAATTTTTTTTCATTTTTTTTAACATTTATTTATTTTTGAGAGACAGAGAGAGACTGAGCACCAGCAGTGTAGAGGCAGAGAGAGAGGGAGACACAGAATCCAAAGCAGGCTCCAGGCTCTGAGCTGTCAGCACAGAGCCCGACTTGGGGCTCGAACTCACAAACCATGAGATCATGACCTGAGCTGAAGTCAGACGCTTAACCGACTGAGTCACCCAGGAGCCCCTAGAATTATTTTAATTTCCCTTTTGGATAATTCATTGTTAGTATATAAAAACATGACTGATTTTTGTATGTTCTGTATCCTGCAACTTTACTGAATTTGATTATTAGTTTTAACAATTTGTGCGTGTGTGTGTGTGTGTGTGTGTGTGCGCATGCACATGATCTTTGGGGTTTTCTACATATAAGATCATGTCATTTGCAAACAGTGATGCTTTTACTTCTTCCTTTCTGAATTGGGTGCCTTTTCTTTTTCTTGTCTAATTGCCCAGGCGAGGACCTCCAGTACAATGTTGAACAGAAGCGGCGAGAGCAGGCATCTTTGTCTCGTTCCTGATCTTAGAGGGAAGACTCTCAGTTTGATGAGTGTGGTGATATCATAATATGATGTCAGTGGAGTAGGACGTTAGCTCTGGGCTTCTCCAGTATGGCCTTTATTATGTTGAGATAATCTTCATCTATTTCTTGCTGTTTTAGGATTATTTCTAATCTTTACGTCAGAAGTAACACTTGTAGCTTGGCATGCTGAATTTGACATAGAGCAACATGCTCTGGCCCAGTATCCAGAGGCCTGACTTTCTGTCTCACTGTGGCCACAAACCTGCAGTGGGAAACCTAGGCCAGTCACTTCCCCTCACCCAGCCTCTGTCTGCTCAGCTGTAATAATAATAAAGCACACCTTCACTTAGGACTTATCATGAGCCAGAAGTTGTCCCCATGGCAGTCCTGTGAGTTACACAGCACTGTTAGGCACAGAGACACTGGGAGACTTTCCCTAAGTCACATAGCTACAAATGGTAGAAAGGGGATTTGAGTCCCAGCCATTTGGGCACAAGGTTTGGCTGCTTAAGCCCTGAGCAGGGAAGGCCCCTAAGGCCCCCTTAGAGCATCCCCATATGGGACACTGGACTGTGTCCCCAGGTCATCCGTAGGCAGCCAGCGAGACAAGTCTTACCTCTTCTGTTTTATGTACAAAAGGACAAACACTGGTTAGCAGCAATCTCGCTGTCAGAGCCCAGCTGTCCTGGGCCCCGGTCCAGACTCTGCCCCTGCAGCTCTTGCCCCCAAATCCAAATATTGCATGAGGCCAAGAAAGAATGCTAACACAGATGAAAATCTTGAAATGCCCTTCACAACTTGCTTTATTCCCTTCTTTTTGCCAGAAATTATTTGGGGGATGTGGTCTGTGGTTTAAGATGTCACAAATACTGCTAGGTATGTCCCATTTATCACTTTATTCCAGCCCCAAATGTCCTGCAGGAAGTGGTGCCATCCCCATTTTGTAGAGGAGGAAACTGAGGTTTACAGAGGGCCAAGGACATGCTCAGGGTCACAATAGGAGGGGTGCCCGTGCTGTCAAACTCACACATCCTGGTTCCGGGTCTTCTGCCCTAGAGCCCCTGCCCAGGCTTGGCCAGCCCATCTCCTAAGAGCCAGGCACCTGCACTAAACCAGCAGCTCTCAGCCTCAGCACCGAGCACACTGGGGGCTAGAAAATTCCTTGTCCTGGTGCAGGTGGCGGGGGAGCTGTCCTGGGTACTACAGAATGTTCTGCGGCATCCCTGGCCTCTGCCCATTAGATGACAACCT